GAGGCGGGGGCCGCCGCGTCTGGCGGCGGCGCTGCGCAAACCGCCGGCCCTGGCGGCGCTGCTGGGAATGGCGGCGGCGGCGGCGCGGGGGGCGTGGGGGGCCTCTCCGCGGCGCTCATGCGCGAGGGTGCGGCGATGCGGCAGGCGGCGACGGCGGGCGGCGGCGGCGGCGGCGGCGCAGGGGCCGAGGCTTCAGCGGGAGGCGCCGGCGCGGCCGCATCGCGGCGGCCTGTTGAGGCGGTCGTGCTGCAGTTTGCTGGCGACCACCTGCTGCTGTACAATGGTGCCATGGTGCACGGCTACGCCATGCGGCCCGCGGTGAGCGGCAGAGCGCTTTGTAGTGGTGCCATGCATCCTTGCTGGGGGTCGGCCGAAGTCATCGGCAATGGTCGCTTGCTGAGGCCGCCCGCTCGATGATTCGCAGCCGCATGCGGCACCCCGCGCTGGATGCTGGGTGCGAGGAGTCATGCGTTGCCGGTCGCGCCTAATACATGGCTGCGAAGCACACCCACCGCAAGCGAAAGGAAGGGGCGTCGCCGCCGTTTAGCGGACTCGCCGCCATTGACCCTTTGGGATCCCAATGACCGCCCCTCCTCCCCCCCACCAGGCCATCAACACAGCCTTCCAGCTCCTTGTCGGCACCGCGCCCTCCGCCGACGACCCCGCGCCCGCCGCCGGCGGCGCCGGCGTTTTGGCACGCGCGACCTCCTCGTCCCCTCGGCCCGAGGGCGCGCCGCGGGTGCCAGACCCCCTGGGGGCGGTGGTGGCGCTGGTGCGGGCGCTCTGGGAGTATATGCACGTGCACGCCCTCTGCCGCAAGCTGTCCAAGCCGTTCAAGGTGGCGTGCGCGCTGCGCAACGTGCTGCTGCTCGGGGACGTCCCGCTCTACGCCAGGTGGGCGGACGATCAGTGGGCGGCCGTGTATACTGGCCAGCTTGCGTGGCGAAGCCGCTCTCCACTCCTTTCCCAAGCCGCCAGCTAAGCCGTGCAGCTCGCCCGTGGCCACTGCGCCCGGTAGGCCGAGGCCTGAAGTGCAGCATGTGCGGCAGCAGCTGGCTGTGTATCGCACACCGCAGCTCGCAATTGGCTGTCAAAAGCACTGCAAGGACGTGTGTGTTGCGTCGCCGGGGCGGTGAGCTGCCGGTGTTGTTGTGTGTGCCCGCAGCATCCTACTGCAATGGCAGACTCCCCGTTTGTGAGTCTTCACGTCACCTCCTGCCCCCGCCCCCAAATCCCTGCCTCCCCCGCACGCCGCCGCACGCCGTCAGGCGCGCCGTAGCTGCGCTGCTGGCGCGGTGGGAGCGCGCGCTGATGCGGCAGCACGCGGAGACGCCGCTGGAGGTCGCGTCATCGCCCGCGCTGGTGCACCTGCTGCGGGTGCTCCAGGAGGTGGGCAGCGCTGGGGCTTGGGGGGGGGGGAGAGTGTTGGGG